ACACCATTTTGCCTCTCGTTTCTCCCTCTTTAATGTCTTCCCCAATACATGTCCTTTCGAGTCGAGAGGCTAATTAGCTAAATATTTTATTCATGGAGTGATTGCAATCTCCTAATAATTCTTTTCACTTGCAGAGACCTTTGTGAGAGCAGATGGTGCCTTTATCCCTTTCACTGATGATTTTGACATGACTGCTGTAACTACATCCGTGAAAGGGATAGGAGAGATTGGAAATGTTAAAAAAATTGACTTGCAATCTCCAATTGACAGTCTCATTGGAAAGCAAGTAATGAAAGTCGGAAGAAGTTCTGGTTTGACCACAGGAACTGTATTGGCATATGCTCTTGAGTACAATGATGAAAAAGGGATATGCTTCTTGACTGATTTTCTTGTCGTTGGCGAGAACCAACAAACTTTTGACCTTGAAGGAGATAGTGGAAGTCTTATCGTTTTGAAGGGTTTCGGAGAAAAGCCACGTCCAATTGGGATAATCTGGGGTGGGACTGCAAATAGGGGCCGGCTTAAACTGAAAGTTGGCCAGCCTCCAGAGAACTGGACTAGCGGAGTTGATCTTGGGCGGCTGCTCAATTTCCTTGAACTCGATCTGATCACTACAAATGAAGGTCTGAAAGGTACGTAGATTAATGTAAATCCTTGGATATATTTTGCCCGAATTGTATGATTTTATTTTGTATCTACATGTTTGGCTTGTGCTCTTATGACGTGTGGTAAAGTAATTAGACAGTAATTCACAATATTAAGAAAGAAAAGAATCTAAATCATGTCTATTATGGTCTGGAACTGTATACCAAACATTCACTTTACATAGCATCTTGCTGTAGTACAATTCAGGTTAAATTTGTCATAATGGATATAGATAGCATTTTGATTGTATTTATATTTGTGGATTTATAGTTGCAGTTCAAGAACAGAGAACTGCTTCCATGACAGTGGTTGGCTCTAACACTGGGGACTCCTCACCTCCGGATGTAATGCTTCCTAAGGATATATCCGAGCCTTTGGGTCTTCATATACAACATATTCCCTTGGAAGATGGTGCAGGTGGTCCGGATATAAACTCATCGCCAGTGGAAACAACATTTGATTTGGAAGAAGGTGTAAACCTGGGTCCAAGTGTTGAACATCAGTTCATACCAAGCTTTAATGGGCAGTCCATAATTCATCGAGATGATCAACAAGAAAGACTGATATCTGGTAATCTCTCTATATTGAGGAATGCTTCTGATGAAGACATTCTATTTTCCTTGCAACTGGGCGAAAACGAGCCCAAGAGGAGACGATCAGAGCCTATAATACCGAGAGTGGAAGAACCATGACAAATTTTCTCATTTCTTCCTTTTTCCTTCAAAGGAACCTTGAGTGAAACCTGTAACTTGAGATAAGATTCATAAGAAAGTCTGATACAAATTGTCTATCGTAAAGTGGTACTACAGATATGTTGTCTCTCTTTCCTCTCAAGCTGAGGCAGATCAAAAAAGGCTGAAATGTGCATTATTCTAATATGCTATATTGCCTCTCTTTAACGTATTTGGATAGCTTGGCAAAGATCCCAGCGATTCGATCCTGCAGACAACTTGCCTCTTAATGAGGTTGGGCGGTATGGGAATGGGACCGACCATAGTCGCATTTTTTTATGTTTAAAAATTTTCATAAAAAAAAAATTCTCCGAATTTTTATTATAAAATTGATTCAAAAAATTAAATTTGTCAAAAAAAATTAACGAACAAGAAAGTATCATCAAAAAATTGTTCGCTTGTAATGAAAAAGGAACTTTAATCGAAAGTAACTTGATTTTATTGTCAAGCTAATTTATTTGCTTTGAATCTTAAAAGGTAAAAGAGCAAGACAAAGAAGTTTGCTCCGAGGGGACTAAGTAGAGGTGTCAAGACGGACGGTCGGTCGACCCGTAAAAATCGGCCCGGATCAACTCGGGATTGCGGGCCGACCCGTGACTCGAGCCGGCGGTTCACGGGTCAAGAAGGCGTGACCTGCGGGCTTCGCGGGTTGCATCTTTACGGGCCGCGGTTAACCCACTGGCCCGTAAAATTTTTTTTTTTTTAAAAAAAATTTGAAAAAAAGGGGGGAGAGAGTCGTTGTACTCATGCTATAAATATTATAAATGCATTTAGTTGTTATTTGTTTAAATTAAATTAAATTTTACAAAATTATAAATAATTCATGTAATATTAAATTTGAATTCTACGTAAACATTTCTTGGTATAAATATGAATTTATCATTTTGTTCAATTCTTAGTTTACATTTAAAAAAATATATATTTTTTACTATATAACGAACAAGAAAGTATCATCAAAAAATTGTTCGCTTGTAATGAAAAAGGAACTTTAATCGAAAGTAACTTGATTTTATTGTCAAGCTAATTTATTTGCTTTGAATCTTAGAAGGTAAAAGAGCAAGACAAAGAAGTTTGCTCCGAGGGGACTAAGTAGAGGTGTCAAGGCGGACGGTCGGTCGACTCGTAAAAATCGGCCCGGATCAACTCGGGACCGCGGGCCGACCTGTGACTCGAGCCGGCGGTTCACGGGTCAAAAAGGCGTGACCTGCGGGCTTCGCGGGTTGCATCTTTACGGGCCGCGGTTAACCCACTGGCCCGTAAAAAATTTTTTTACAAAAAAAAATTTGAAAAAAAGGGGGGAGAGAGCCGTTGTACTCATGCTATAAATATTATAAATGCATTTAGTTGTTATTTGTTTAAATTAAATTAAATTTTACAAAGTTATAAATAATTCATGTAACATTAAATTTGAATTCTATGTAAACATTTCTTGGTATAAATATGAATTTATCATTTTGTTCAATTCTTAGTTTACATTTAACAAAAAAAATATTTTTTGCTATAAATATGAAAAATTTGTGTCAGCCTAGTTGGGATGTACTTATGCTATAAATATATGATCGTAGTAATTAGAAATGCATTTAATTGTTATTTGTTTAAGTTAAATTTAATTTGCAAAGTTATAAATAATTCATGTAATATTAAATTTGAATTCTACGTAAACATTTCTTGGTATAAATATGAATTTATCATTTTGTTCAATTCTTAGTTTACATTAAAAAATATATATATTTTTTACTATAAATATGAAAAATTCTATATTTTTTTTAATTTTATTTATACAATAATATGGGTCAAATCAAAACAAATTGCGACCTGCGCGACCCGTGACCTGCATGGGCTCAATCTGGATGGGTCAGAAGGCGGGCCTGAGTTGTAGTCCAAAATTTGTGGGCCGACCCGGAACCGGTCCGGAACCTGTAGCGGGTGAGCTTTTTTTCATGCGGACCATTACCGGGCTCATATGTTGGCGGGCCGGGCCGGCCCAGCTCGAACCACCCTTATTGACACTTCTAGGACTAGGTGGGAATGGGGATCAGGGTTTGTGCCCCCAAAAACCTTTATATAATAATACGCAAACGTTTTGAGTCTCATTTTTTCCAAAATTTATATTCAATCACACATTATTTAATAAAATAATTTTACTCGTAAATTAAAAAAATTTTGCATTATTTTTTATCCACACATTCTGCAAAAAAATATTATTTCAAAATACATTTTCCCTTCAAAATAGAGCTCAAACAAGGTCTAAAATTTTTTTCCAAGGATGCCATTTTTTTAATATATATAAAATGAGAAATAAAAAATAAAGCAAGCGTTAAAAGAGAATTGTGGGTTCTCCACTCTGGCCCTGCATAAGCGAGGATGAGGAGGGGAAATTTCAGAGGACAGAAGTGGGAACGAGATAGGGATGGAGGAATGAGCTCGTTGGCCCAAACGCTTCCTCGTATCATTCCTACCACTTCAAATAAGATTAGAACCCAAGTCACTAACATGATAATACTTTACTCTTACTACTTGAGCTAGTAGAGATGACGTAGATAGACGGGAATAGGGTAAATTCTAGGGTAATTTGGGAGTTGTCTAATATGTTTGAGTAATTGGTTCGTGTTTGTGCATAAAAAGATTGCGCATTTGTGCTAATGTAATTTTAAATAAGTTTAGATTTTTTTTTAAATAATTAGATAATCGTGACGGAGAACTGCAGGATGTAGGATTTTTGGGGTCAAATTCCCTCTTGATCTCAGAATTATTTATTTTACCTTGCTTTTTTCTTAAAAATTTATTATGGCCCTATTTTTATTTAAAAAGGGACTATACGGGTTCAATTTTGCAGTTCGGCCTAATACTAAAGCCCAACTCTTGCAATATTAGAGGCCAACTTCCCAAAATCTTTAGTTATTAACCGTTCAATTTCAATTTAATTTATCTCTCTGGTTGGGGTTTATAGGGGGATTTCATTTAAAAAGCTTGGTCAAATCAAACATTTATTTAAAAAGTCCAACATCCATGTTTTTTAGTTAGAAGACCTAAATATATGAAAAATGAAAAATACAATTTGTAAATGACAAAATATCTTTGTATACAAAAAGACATTATTGTCATAAATCCCATTTAATTTTCCATTTAACTCTAACTGAATTTTACTTCCATTTTTTTCTACAGAAATCGACTTTATAGGTATGCAACCACTTTTCATTTTCTTATCTTCGTTTTCTGTACATAATGAAACAATAAGCTCTATATTCTCATTCCTATGAACACTCATTTGGTTGAAGTGAGTAATAAAATCTTGCAACATTCTTGTTAGGCATTTGGAGAAGAAGAGGGTAATATAAATTTTCAATATTTGGGTTATTTTCTTTCTCCATTTTTTTGAATCATTTCTTTATGTTGTTGTATATATGTGTATGGTGTTCATTTGTCAACAATAATTTTGAATTCATTTTATCATTAAATTAGAAATTTGATATGGGTTACTTCCCAACCTTTTTTCTTACTACCTCTTATTTGTATTAGTTGGAGTGAAATGTAAGTTGGTAAATGCATGTTTGGCTATTCTTTTCATTGTTCTACAGTAAAAATTACATTTGATTTTCTTCTGTGCATAACGACTTAAATATCGTTTTCTACAATCCATAACGATATACATATCATTATCAGTACTGTAAAATGTTTGAAATTTGATGAAATTTTTATGTTGAATTATAGTTATGGACATTGCGAATATATTATGGATATCAGTTTGTTATCCAATTCCATAACGACTTACATATTGTTGTTAGTACGGTTTTATGTTTGAAATGTGATGAAATTTTTATATTGAATTTCAGTTATGGACACCGAGAATATGGTTTGGATATCAGTTTGTTATCCAATTGAATACGAGTATTCAATTGAAGGTGCATGGACATGGAAATATGCAGGGAATGACAAAGGGAAAACAATGTCTATTCTTGTTGCGAAAATAATTTCTTATGTGGAATTGGATGATAAAGTCAAAGAGGTGTTGAATGATAAAAAGACTGTACAAAATAGAGATTTCAGTTCTCGTCTCTATAATGTCTACAGTTCCAGCTGCTCCGACCATCATTGATTGTGACAACAATGTGAAGTGGTTTGTAACTGTTTGTAGAAAAACTTTTCTTTATGTAACTCTTTTGAATGAAGTTGAAAATCAAGAAGAGTTTGATGATGAATGACATTTATTACCAATAGAGGGTGGAGAACAAATTGCAAATATGAACAGCTAAGAGGAACATGTTCGAATAGACAGCGATGATAACCATGACAATGTTGATGAAATATTTGTAGATTGTAATGATTTTGACGTAAATAAAGATAGTCCCTGAAGAGTAGATGGCGAAAATAATTCTCTTGTACTAGACGACAATAATGTGGAGTTACACATGGATGAACCATGTAGTCAGATTGTATCTGTAACTGTAAGTTCAGTCCGTTGTGGAACATTAGTGAGAATTTCGAAAAATCAAAATGTGCAAGTCAACCAGTTGTTTCCATCAAAATATGATCTAATATCCAAATTGCAGTTGTTGGCTGTGAAGTGTCACTTTGAATACAAAGTTAAGAAGTCAAATAAGAGCAATTATACAATTATTTGCATTGATAAAAATTGCAAGTGACGCTTGTGAGCAACCAAGATTGTAGAAAGTTTTATTTTCGAAGTTCAAAAGCACAATGGTCATCACTCTTGCTCAATAAGTGTTCGTCGCAAAGACGCATGCTTCATATATGATTATTGGAAACCACATCGCCCCTAAGTATCAAGGTGTCAACTGAGTTTACAGACCACATGGCATCATTAAAGACATTCGTTGGGAGTTTTCGGCATAATTATAAGCTATACTAAAGCGTATATGTCTAAACATTTTGCTTGTGGACTGGTCAATGGAAAACCCCGTGAGAATTATGCGAAATTAGCAGCATATTGTCATGTTTTGGAGATGCAAAATCCTGGTACACCGACGTTCATTCATACTACAGATGATTGGCGCTTCAAATACTTTTTATGGCTTTGGGACCAAGTATATATGGATTACTCAACTCAATGCGAAGGGTAATTTCTGTAGATGGTACATTCTTGACATTGAGAATGAAAGGTACTCTATTCGTAGTCCTCTACTAATAGCAACTTGTCAGGATGCAAATTTTCAAATATTTCCACTCGCATAGGGAGTAGCTGATTCGGAGAATGATGAATCCTGAACTTGGTTCTTTCAAAAGTTACGGTTAATAATAGGCAATGTTCTAAAATGCGTAATGCGTTGCGAGGCGTAAAGATCGAGAATCAAGAATCACGAGTTTAGGCATGTCAATGCGAAGAATAAGCGCCATAATGCGTTTCGTATTTTTAATATTATTTTAATTATTTTTAAGATATTAAATAGATTTTTATATAAAAAATAGATTTTTTACTATATCATTAAAAAAAAGGGTTAATTTCAAAATTTTCATTTTAATTGAATGACCTTTTTCATTTTAATTGAAATTTAACTGACCAAAATAGTTGAAACTTGAACTTTGAGAACTTATATCGCAAATTTGACAAACCACCATTAACAACCAGTCAACAAGATGCATAAAAAAATTTGACAAACCAAGTTACCAACATTAACAAATCAAAATAAACAAGATATTTAGGCAACACGCAAACACAAAACCTAAAAGTTAAAACTAAATTAGGCCAGCAAACGGGGTCAGCAACATGAACAAAAGCTATAGTTCCCATAAACCAGCTAATACGTGAGGAATCCTCAGTTTCAAAAGCCATCTTGAACCTCATTCCAGGGCACCACTGGATCCTCATAGACGCTCTCACGGATGACACCTTCACACAAAACTCTGGTGTCCTTGCACATGGGTAATAAACCACCTCAAAAGGTTGGCCACTGGCAGCAAGAAGTGTGGCATTGAAAACCGATTCAGGTTTAACTCTCCCCCTCTCCATTAGATTCCCATTATTACCACCTCTATTCATCAGCTTGTTTTCATCTTCCTTCAGAAAGGCTGAAAATCCCCCTAAATTTCCAGCACCACTAGAGTTCCACCCAGATGGGGTCTCATGCCCACAAAAGCCAACACCGCGCTTGGCTCTTCGAATTCCAATCCAAAGAACCCCATTTTCTGCCCTAAAAAATACAATTGAATCCCCTGCAACCAACTTCTTCTGATTTAGAAAGGAACTCCAACCATTTTTCTTGAATTTACAGGAGGGTGGATAATGAAGGATGGAAAATGAAGAAGGATGCCGTCTACTTTCAATCAAGAAGAAGAAGAGGAGGAGGGTGGAAAATGAAGGATGCCGTGGTTGCTTGCACAGTAACACAGCTAAAGTATCCCACATCGGAATCCTATGGATGAAGGCTAAGAAATTTTGCCTATAAATAAATGGGCCAACAATCCTTTTATTTTCATTTACTTCATGGGCCTATCACTTGATGGGTTGGAAGTTGGAGTTTATATTTGTATTATGCATAATTAGTAAATTTAGTAAATGGTAAAATAAAAAGAAACTAAAAAAAATTAAAAAATGCTCGCCTTTGCGTGCATTATCGCTCCTTTGTGTGTGTTTTAGTGGTCAACGCTTGTGTTGACCGTATTTTTACACGCATATCTTCAACGCGATGCGTTTTGACGGCGCCTTGCGCCTAGGCATGCTTAGACGACGCATTAAGCCGCCTTTTAGAACACTGATAATAGGTTATACAGATGAACTTATGATTATATCTCACCGTGTAACATGTATTAAAAATGGAGTTAGAAATATTTTTCAATTTGTTCATCATGGTAATTGTACATATCACCTGCAAAAGAACTTGAAGATAAATTTTCCATGGAGTTATCTTGCAACTTTATTTAGGACAGCATCGGAGGCTTATAATGTAACAGAATTTGAGTCCAACATAGCAGCTCTGTGCAGTAAAAAGAAGGGCATTAAAGAGTACCTATTAGAAAAAGATTTCCATTATTGGGTTAGAGCACATTTTACTAGGATGCTTTACAATATCATGACTACGAATAATGCAGAATCTCTAAATAGCTTGTTGAAGAGTGTTCGAGAATTTCCATAGTTGGTTTAATTGAATACATTCGAGAGACACTGCAAATGTGGTTTTATGAAAGAGATGTTGAAATTAAAAAATGTGCGACCCTCCTCACGCCACCTTTAGAGAAAAAGATGTGCATGAAATATAATGAGTCAAATGGGTTGGAGGTCATTCAGGTATTTTCGAACATTTATCAAGTTGGTGACAATCTAGAACACCACTTTATGGACTTGGATGAAAAGATGTGTATGTGTAGAAAATTTGATTTTGACAAGTTCCCATATGTGCATACAATTGTTGCAGTAAGGTTTAAAGGAGGTGATGGCTATAACATATTTAGCCCTTTTTATGCTACGGTTTGTTGGAAGCAAGCATATTTTGCATTTGTATACCCTTTGCTAAATGAGGTCGAATGGAGAATTCTCAAACATGATGGCTAGAGAAGTATTTTCACCATTGGCACGAAGACAGGGTGAGTGACTAGCAAAAAAGAAAAAAATATCAGCCAAAGAGACGCGTACGCCTCGTAAGTACAGTAGGTGTGTGAAAACTGGTCATGTCCGATCCACTTGTACGGGCCTAGTAGTTGGTATTGAAACTTAAGGTTGTAATATTGTCAGAATAAATTATAAAATTTGAAAGCCCTTTTTTATATCTGTATAGGACCTCGTTCATAATCTGCACAAAAGAACTAGTTAATATAAATTGAAGTCTTGTGTAATATTATTTAAAATTATTAAAGTTGTATTGGCTTGGCATCATGCTCATCACCATCTCTTTCGAAATGGTGTGAATCACTCTCATTTTCTACCACGATCAGTGTCTACTCTTTCCACTAGTCCTTATCGAGTTCGAGTTCAGTGGGAATCAATTTAGAATGAACCTCCTATTGCAAATATTAAATCGTGCAAATCATTAGTCATTCCCTAAGCTAATTTCACAATTTGTTCCATTAAAAATTTTTAAAAAATGGCAATTTACCTCTTTCAATTTTAATACGTTATCAATGGCCGCAGACGCTAACCTCTTCGACATTTTCCAAGCTACCATTCTTGGAATTGTATCCGGATATTTCGTATCAAACTTCATTCCCAATGTTGAAATCATCTCGAATGTCCAAATTTATTGTAAAATAAACATTATTATCTCACAACACAAATATATATAAAATAATACAAGTCAAGTTTATGGTTTGTTCATACCATTATAGCGAGGGGAAAGCCATGCAACGAATACCGACAACATAACTCTCCTTCGACATCTGATTTTTCAATTTACCTCCCATTTCACGTTTGAATACATTTATCGTGTATTCAAATGAAAACTTTCCCCATAGATACTTCTCGAACCTATCTAGATCATCCACCAAGTCCAACCATCATAAATCGATATAAGTGTGAATCTTTGGTGCTTCTTATTGACAAGCTCTGTAGGAATGTGAATGAAAACCATTTAAAGGAAATATTTGGTATGTCATAGTACTTTCTTTTAAATCTATTATTGAGTGCAATTTGTTACCATTTTTATGCGGAAGTACCTGCAAATAAATCTTCAAGCTATTAAATTTGACTGCAGATCAATTGACGTGTATTCATAAGAAACTATTGCTAATAGCTCATTTCTTTATGCCAAGACTGGGCTTTAATTGACTTAATTTTTTTCTACCTGTTATATAGGTAATTTTGGTGAAGTTGTGAATGTGAGGCTGGCAATTGATCATGTGGTAAGTTGTTTATCTCCACTTCATATGTTGGTGGTCAAAATCAATATTAGTTTCATTCTAATTTAGGTTGTTTCTCTGTTGCAGGTTAACATTCCCAAATGATTTGCATATGTTGAGTTCAAGAGTAGGATTGAGGCTGAGAAAGCCTAGTTATATATGGATGCGGTATGATTTTGTCCACAAGCATAATTGAAATGGTCATCAATGTCTTCTGTTTTGCAAAATTTATAAGCTCTACCGGTAGTATACAGGCCCAAGTAGATGGGAAAGTTGTTCGAGCCAAGTTCACGCTACCTGAAAGTACCTGAAAGGAGGAAGGCTATTTCGCCTTCTAAAGGTGTTGCCACTATGTCCAATAAATATACCCCAAAAGCTGATAATATTGCTGCAGATGCTGACAAAGATGGAATAAATCGGCAGCGAGAAGGTACACATTTTTTTGGGCAATAAGAAACAATTTTCTCTGCTTTGTTTTAACAAATTTTCTTCATGACAGCAGTATCGCCACATCTAAAACCCCTTTCTCCACATTGGAAGAGATCTCCTGTAGGACGAAGAGGATCTCCAAGATGGGAGCCAAGCTCTCTACTACGTCAACATGCAGAATCTTCTCTCCCGCATCGAGCTGATTTTCCTTCTCGATGAGAATCTTCTCCTAGGAGAAGGTCGACATCCCCTGTTAGTGGTCGTTCAGATCACCCCTCAGGATGTAGTAATTTGAAATGTTATCCTCCCCTAATCATTGTTTACTTTGTAACTATGTTTTTTAGACTAATTTGATTAGACTAATCTTGAAAGAGCATCTCCCAGAAGGATACGTGGGATTTTAATTCGATGTCGTTCTCCACATCCTCCTAGGCGACGGTAAGTTAAATTATTTATTATTTTGATAACCTTTTTGTAGCATATCCATTTTATGTTCTTGTATGTTAGAATTTGGGTTTGACCCGAATTCCTTGTTTGAAGTATTGAAGAATTCAATTTTTGAATGCCATTGAAGTCCTATATTAAGTTGAAGTTCTATTTTGGAAGCCCATTGGGAGTTGAAAATTGATATTAGACTTGAAGAAGAGTTTAGTATGGAGAAAAATACTTTGAAAGCATGTTTTGGAATATTAACCTGAAACCTAGCGCCTGAGCGCTGCTACAGTAGCGTAACCTGTTTCGGGATTTTTCCCTTTTTTGTTTCTTATTTCGTTTTGGACTCGGATTTTGGGTATTCTACTTCATCAACAAGTCTACCAAGAGATCTTGGACGTCCCCTACATGTTCCCTATAAATACTTGTCTCTCCTAAACAATTTAATAACACAATTATATGTGAGAAAATAGATTACTAGAATTATAGGATCATTGTAATATTTTTCTCTCTTCTCCATTACTCTTGATGCAATAAAATCTCATAATTCCTCTACCATATTCTTGTCTTCTTTTATTCTTTTTTTTTTAATCAAATACTTTATTACTTTGCCATATAACTTCAACATCTCAATCCGGTGATTGATGTTACAACAAGTCGTACCAATCCTAACAAGTGGTATCAGAGCCCAGGTTCAGCAATTCCGCATCGCTAGGGTTTTTTTATTTGTTTGAAGTTTCTATTTGTGATGGCTACCGTGAAGTATAAATTTTGCTATGGCAGGTTAAGATGCGTACAGTACTCGCACATCTGCATTTAGATGGTGCATTACTGGGTGTTGACAGGATACCAGCAACTTTGACCGCGGAAAAGAAATTACGAAAAGATAAAAAGGCAGTTTCTCACATTCATCTTCATTTAACAAATTCCATTCTTCAGGACGTTTTGAAGGAGATGTCAGCAGCTGCTTTGTGGTTGAAGTTGGAGCAATTATGCATGACCAAAGTTTTACAAGCAAATTGCAACTCAAGCAGTGATTATACTCTCATCGCATGACAGAAGTAGGATCGTTGGAAGATCACTTTGCTGTATTTAAGGAGATTGTTGTTGATTTAGAAACATTGGAAGTTAAGTATGATGAAGAAGATTTGGCCTTGTCCCATTATACTCGTTGTCCCTTTCGCTTTCTTCATTTAGAGACACGATCTTATACAATCGTGATACTCTTACCATTGAGGAGGTTTATGATGCTTTGTTTTCAAAAGAGAAGATGAAGCATCTGGTTTCTGAGACTAGAGATGGAGAATGCCTGGTTGCTCATGGTGGTTCTAGAAGGGGCAGATCGAAGTCTAAATTCAGTATTCACATTTGTAACTACTGCAAGAAGAAGCGGTACTTGAAGAAGGATTGCTACGAGTTGCAGAATAAAGAAAAGATGGCTGCAAGTAGACATTTAGATACTTCAGGCGAAGCAGACCTCGTGGAGAACATTGTAAGTTGTGGAGAGCTCTTGGCTATTTATGACGTCGAATCTAATCAGATGATGATTGGATTCTGAATTCAACTTGTGTGTTTCATATGTGTCCTAATAAGGACTTGTTTACTGCATATGAAATCGTTTTCAAAGGAGTCGTGGTTATGGGAAATAACGCACCTTGTCGAGTTGCTGGAATTAGTACTGTCAGATTGAAACTTTTGGATGGAACAATTAGAACACTTGGCTAGGTTTGACATGTTCCAGATTTGAAGAAGAATCTCATATCTTTGTCTATCCTTGATTCAAAAGGTTATGAGTTCTTTGGTGGATGTGGAGCTTTGAAGGTTTGTAAGGGTGCCCTAGTTATATTGGAAGGACAAAAAAGGTCTCAGTTATACATCTTGCAGGGTCGTACAGAATTTGAAAGAGTCAATCAACACAGGTTTTGTATCATGGTAGACGTTCAGTTTGGTACGATACCTTTAGAATCTCATAAAGGGTCAGATTTGAAGAATACAGCTCGGTGGAGTTTTGAAGACATGGATAATACCGCTTGACCACCATTATCTGCGGTGCCATTGTATTCAGTTGCTAGAGTTCGACCCAGTGGAACAAGGTATGTGGATGTTGATTTTGTTGAGCATACTTTAAGTGAAGAAAAATGTGTATAATCTAGTAAGGAGCCTTCATTAGAAGAATTTGGTAATGATTCTACTTTGGGGTGTGTTATAGCCCATTTTGGTTAATTCAAAATCATTATGATTTTTTGGAATCTGAGGTAATTCTGTAGAGTAGTGCTTGGATTCATTGAAAGAGGAGGAGTATCTTGTGTTTAGTTAGAGAAATTAATTTTTTGATTATTATTGAAGAAGTCAGTTCATTCCTTGGTGGAATTCATGTCAAGGTGAAGATTGTTAGAATTTGAGCATGACCTGAATTCCTTGTTTAAAGTATTGAAAAATTCTAATTGTAGTGAACATCAAGAAGAATTCAAGTTTGTAATATTATTGGAGTCCTATATCAAGTTGAAGTTCTATTTTGGAAGCTCATTGGGAGTTGAAAATTGATATTAGATTTGAAGAAGAGTTCGGNTTAATTCCCCTGCCATATTCTTGTCTTCTTTTGTTTTTGATCAAATACTTTAATACTTTGCCATATAACTTTAACATCCTAATCTGGTTATTTGTGTCACAACAAGTGGTACCAATCCTAACATTATATATATTATGTATAGAATGTTCTATTTATTGAAGCAAATTTACTGAAATCCATCGTGTGTTATAATGAATACTGCAATTTTAGTTAGAAAAAAAATTTATGTAAAAAAAAAAATCACGTGTAATTTTGTTTTTTTTTTTACGTATTAGCCCAGTCTGTAATCGGGTGTTGGATCCATCCCTGTACTGCAGGCTAATGTGTTATATTTGACTGCCCTGTATAATTACAATTTTTATGTGTTTAGTTCTCCACCACGAGCTCTAAGTCCATCATGAACGTCTCCAGTTAATCGGCGACGCAGTCGATCTCTTGTTAGGAGGCCAGCTCGTCCAAGGTCAAGATTGTTATCTCCAAGAAGGTAATCGAAAGAATTTCCGCCATATTTTCCTGCCTGATATCTATTATTGTTTTGACCTTTTCAATTTGATACCACTCCATTTGGAGGGAAAGTTTATTCTGATGGTTTTAGAAGCAATATTGAAAATTGTTATGCACTGATACAGATAAACACAGTACAGTGTCATGTTTCTACACATGCTTATACTGATTTGCCTGTGTTTTCCTTTTTGATTTTCTCGTTTTTATTATTTTTAGTATGGGGTTCATGTATTAAGTCTCAGTATGTTGTCATTTACTCTTGCATGGGATGAATTCAACTTTAACAGAGGGCGTGGACCACCTACGAGACATGGTCGATCTTCATCCTACTCGTCATCACCTAGCCCATGCAGAGTATTTTTCTTTCTCATATCTTCGTATGTAAAAATTTAGTATCAAATGCAACTTTATTTCTAAAGATTGTGCAGGCACCACGGAGAGTATCAAGGAGCATCATGTAAGGATTTTTAATCAAACAAGTGGGCTTATATGTGAAATATTGTGTATTAAATTAAAAGCTATCAATTTCGCTTAAGCCAATTTAAAGTGATCTAATAAGGTTTCAGTATTTAGTGTTTTGAAGAA